TAATTAAATAGTTATGGGTTTAGTTAAAAATTGTGAAGATGTAACAAGAGAATTGCAAGTTCTAGGTCAAAACAGATACATTTTAATACATTTTATTATTTTTCCAGTATTGTTATTTTAAACTAATACTTATTCTTGTCAATTCTTCAAAAATTGCAGTTTAGAGTATAAACTCAAATGAGTATTTACAGAAACCTATTTAGTTTAGAAAAACGTCGCCTGAGAGGGGATATGATAACATTATACAAATATATTCGTGGCCAATACAAACCATTGTGTGGAAATCTATTCACAAACCGGACTTTACATAGGACACGAGGCCATGAGTTTAGACTGGAAGAAAGAAGATTTCGTCTAAGGCAAAGGAAAGGTTTTTTTACCGTAAGAACAATCAGGATGTGGAATTCTCTGCCTGAGGAAGTGGTTTTATCAGAGTCCATACAGATGTTCAAACGGCTACTAGATGCATACTTGCAAGAACAGAATATTCAAGGATATAATCTTTCAATGTAGGTAATAACTGCTTGATCCAAGGATAAATGTGACTGCCATTCTGGGGTCAAGAAGGAATTTTTTTCCTAGCTTGTTGCAAAATTGTGCTTCAAACTGGGTTTTTTTTGCCTTCTTTTGGATCAACAGCAAAAAACAAATGTGAGGTAGGCTGAACTTGATGGACGCAAGTCTCTTTTCAGCTATGTAACTATGTAACTATGTAACTATATAAATTTCATACCAACTGGCTGCCATGGACGTATACACAATCTCTGCAACAAGCCTCCAAAAATAGTTTTTGTATTGGAAGTGCTCTCACAATGGGGAAAGGTATATTTTTTTAATATTTTCTCCTTATGACCAACACATGTAGCTTATCCATAGTAACCTTACTGGTATTTCCTAGCAGTCAAATAGGAAGATGTCTATTGATTCATCAGAACTTAGAACAAGGTCCTAATGGTGTTACTACATCCCTCCTTTCAGTGTCTCTATTAAAACGAAACACATAAATTAGGTAACAGTCCAGACACCGAGAGCGAAAGAATGGGTGTTTGGAAGATAATGAAAATACTTCCGATGAAAAGCGTGGCCATTCTTGGCCAATGTTAGGGAATGAATGGCATTCACATAATTCCAGCTATTAAATTGCTCTCACTGTTTAATGAAGGAATGTAACAAGCATCCTGTTATTGAGTGTCATGTCCAATGTTCTGGCAGAATCCAAGAAAGTTTAACTCAAAGGATTCTACAGCTTGGAAATAATTTGTGAAGTTAGTGGCAGAACACACCTGTTTAGTGAAAGTTGTGACATAACAGGTATTAATGGGACACTCCAGCCCAGTATGTGTGTTGGGTGTAATGTGTAGAGTCATTTAGGTTACAATAATTCTGCTGCATTTTTCTAATAAAATTATTTTTTTCTTATAATAATTTTTTCCATAAGTACAACCATTAACCCTTGCAGTGCCCATTAAAGGGACACTATAGGCACTGAGACTACTTCAGCTCATTTCTTAGAAGTCCCACACTGGGACAGCTTAGTGTAGTGGTTGGCGGCAAGATAAGGGATTATGCTGCAGCATATTATGACTCTATAAATGAGCCACCACTCTATGGTTTCACTATACCTTCACTTTATTTACTTTATGTGTATGTGGTGAGAGTACTCTTACTTTGTAATTAAAGGTGCTTCTAGTCCTTAGCTGGGGAGCGGGTAGGGTTTAGAATTTTTAAGGGGTGCCCAAGAAGTCCTTAGCTGGGGAGCAGGTAGGGTTTAGAATTTTTAAGGGGTGACCACGAAGTCCTTAGCTGGGGAGCGGGTAGGGTTTAGAATTTTTAAGGGGTGCCCACGAAGTCCTTAGCTGGGTAACGGGTAGGGTTTAGAATTTTTAAGGGGTGCCCACGAAGTCCTTAGCTAGGGAGCAGGTCGGGTTTAGAATTTTTAAGGGGTGCCCAAGAAGTCCTTAGCTGGGGAGCAGGTAGGGTTTAGAATTTTTAAGGGGTGACCACGAAGTCCTTAGCTGGGGAGCGGGTAGGGTTTAGAATTTTTAAGGGGTGCCCAAGAAGTCCTTAGCTGGGGAGCAGGTAGGGTTTAGAATTTTTAAGGGGTGCCCAAGAAGTCCTTAGCTGGGGAGCGGGTAGGGTTTAGAATTTTTAAGGGGTGCCCACGAAGTCCTTAGCTGGGGAGCGGGTAGGGTTTAGTATTTAAGAGCTGCCCATGATAGGGAACTACTTGGAGCTATAGGTTATCACTTCCCTACGTTACGGTTTACCTCTCTCCCCTCGATATGCTCTATTTCTTAGGAGTCCCACCCTGATAGATATTTATTTGTTTCTACATCTGTTACATTTGTTTGCACTAGTTGTTAGTGTTTCTTTTCCTTTTACTTCAATTTGCCTCCCGAAGCAGTACACTCTTAATTTCTGCTTCGACTTGCTTGGTCGTTTTTTATTTCATTTATTTTTATTTATTATTTTGTTTCTGTTTTTGTTTTTTCTCACATTATTTGATGGTTTTATTAGCCTGGTGTAGGCTAGCATTCTATGATTAATTACGAGATGTATACTCTACAATCAATTTTACATTATATTTATTAAAGGTTATGTTTTATTAATTACTTGTCTTTGGGTTGCTTTCTAGTCTTGTGACGGTATTAACATTTATCTGCCTCCGATCCCTCTTTCCTGTCCGTTCCAATATTTGTTTTGGTTTTAATGTAATGTTTTCATAAATGTTAACGTCTAGACATAAAGGAACACTCCAAGCACCATAACTTCTACAGCCCATTTAAGAAAGGCTTGACAAATGACCTGGGGTATGTGAAGCGCCCATGCCACCTCCTTAGATGTTCAGCTCCACTGAGCGAAGCCAGGCTGCGCAGGCACGGCTCATTGGGGGAGTGCGTCAACTGAGCGGCCTCAGCCAATGTGTGCCTTCGTGGACCACCAGATATTCTGGGGCAAAGGAGGGTGCAGCGTGTGCCCTTTAGTCCCAATTTAAATGGTTAAATCAGTCCTAAATGGTTTAAAGGACCACTCTAGGCACCCAGACCACTTCAGCTTAATGAAGTGGTCTGGGTGCCAGGTCCCTCTAGGATTAACCCTTTTTTTTTTATAAACATAGCAGTTTCAAAGAAACTGCTATGTTTATATTAGGGCGCAGGAGAAAGGTGAGCCTGGCGGGACGGGGTCCCTCAGGGTGGGGGCATCCTCAGGGCACTATAGTGCCAGGAAAACGAGTATGTTTTCCTGGCACTATAGTGGTCCTTTAACTGATTACTGTGGGAGGGTATCAGAAAATCCTGGCACCATAACTGCTACAGTGAGTTTCAGATTTTAGTGTGTTTGAAGCGTTCCATTAGGCAGGTTTTTATTCTCATTATTAAGCAATGAATAAAAATAGAAATATGTAAAAAACTAAACTCTCCACAGATAAAAATGTAAACACCCATACAACAAATGATTGTCAAGGCAATTCTGCTTGCAAGCCATCCCCTTCACATGCCTTGTTTATGCAGACCCCAGTATCATCCTATTAGAATGGTGGATTTGTGTTCATAGCCAAATATTTTATATTAAAAAAAAAAAACACCCTGGGGTTTATTCATGAAACACAGAATTCTGGGAAATTGTACCATATCATATATTTTTGGTCCATAATTTGCCATTCATTGTCCAACGCACTATAATTCGCTGTTTAGTGAATACGTCCCACATTGTCACACTGCTGGGTTTAGGAATATCCAGCACACGAGATCATGTGACCCAGTCTTACCCACAGCAATGTGCTGGGAATCTGAGCTGATAAATGCAAATAAAGCTTCAATCTCAAACCCTGAACACATTTCTACTTCCAAGTTCTAAGGACACCGCTTACTCTTTCCAAGAACAATGCATTGATTAGTCAGACCTTCTCTCTCTACAAACACTGTGATAGATCAGAGACATCATGGCAGCTTCACCTGATCTACAAGATAATTATCTCATTATCCCAGATGTAGACATAGCTGAAGGTAGGTGTCATGCAAGAACATAGATTTGGTCTTTTTTTTTTATTAATCACAAGAATCATCTAATAAACTGAGAGAGGCCATTATCACATGCAAGAATCAGCCAGCTGTACAGTAAATCTCCTATATGTGATTTCAAGGTGGGTTTACACAAAAGAGAAATGCAACTGTTATTATTATTGTAACAAAAGAAAAAATAGAATAAAACTAAGAGGCATCCATTGTTTAACAGCAGGGAAAGTGTAAATACATACTTGGGGGTGGGGACACATCTAATCTGATTTCCACAAGGGGCAACAAGCCTAAACGTGTGTGATCCACCTCCATACTGAGTGATATTAGGTCAGCAATGGGATACAGTGACAGGAGGAGAGCAGCAGGGATCCCTGGGGGGAGAATCAGATCATTCCACAATTTGATACATTGTAACATCTTCTCCTTCCGAAGGCATCCTAACAGGTATATTACAGCCCTGGACGTGGGATGTGCCAGGAATGTGAATGAAGGGCTTCACATATCATGGAGCAGCTTGATTTACCCAGTGATGGGCTACAGTGATACACCCCTCCTGGCCATGAAAGGGTTAAAGAATGCTGGAGATCAGATACAGTGTTACACACGATGATCAGAGCCCTCTCTCCCTTCCTAGCTGTGTGGGTGGATGGGGGGATACTGCATAGGATGGGGGAGAGAACATTGCACTGGATGGGGGGGGCATTGTACAGGGGGGGTGGATATTGCACAGGATGGGGGCATTGCACGGATGGGGGTATTGCACATGGTGGGGGCATTGCACAGAATGGAGGGTTATTGCAGAGGATGGAGGGGGGGCATTGCACATGCTATGGTCCCACTCCCTATGCCAACAGGGGGTAAGGGAGCAGGGAGTAAGTTTTACAATGAAATGGCACTACATTGCTGGGGGCAAGGGGAGAGGAAGGGGTGTATTCTGCAGGGGGCCCACAGCTGACAGCTTGGGGGGCACAGCTCATCTTACCGTCCCAGCTCAGACTCCAGCTCGTAGTAACGGGCCAAGGTGTCCTTGTTGGAGCCATCGATCCAGTAATCCGGCGCTGAGCTCCCAGACCTGGAGGAAGAGGAGGAGGTGGAGGAGGATGCGGTGGAAGAAGAGGAGGAAGAAGAGGTGGATTTGGGCAGAGTGACTTTCAGCATGTCGGGGAGGTAGTGCAGCGCTGGGCTGCCAGCAGCAGGAATGGCAGGAGGCACAGGTCCCTCAGTCGGTAGAGCCCAGATCCAGCCAATAGAGCAACCCGGATGGGAGGAGGCTGGCTGTGTGTGAGGCTGCCAGGGTCCCTCCAAAACCAGGATGGGAGACCCAGCTGGAGAGAGCTCAGAGCCCAGAGAATGGCAAGCCTGCCCCTACTCCATTCACAGAAGGGGCACAGGAGCAGTCTTAGAGAAAGGGGCACAGGGGGAGCCCCAGGGAGAGGGCACAGGAGCAGTCTCAGAGAAGGGGCACAGGGGCAGTCTCAGACTAGGGGCAGAGGAGCAGTTTCAGAGAAGGGGCACAGGAGCAGTCTCAGAGAAGGGGCACAGGAGCAGTTTTAGAGAAGGGGCACAGGAGCAGTTTTAGAGAAGGGGCACAGGAGCAGTCTCAGAGAAGGGGCACAGGAGCAGTCTCAGAGAAGGGGGCACAGGAGCAGTCTCAGAGAAGGGGCACAGGAGCAGTCTCAGAGAAGGGGGCACAGGAGCAGTCTCAGAGAAGGGGCACAGGAGCAGTCTCAGAGAAGGGGGCACAGGAACAGTCTCAGAGAAGGGGCACAGGAGCAGTCTCAGAGAAGGGGCACAGGAGCAGTCTCAGAGAAGAGGCACAGGGGCAGTCTTAGAGAAGGGGGCACAGGAGCAGTCTCAGAGAAGGGGCACAGGGGCAGTCTCAGAGAAGGGGCACAGGGGCAGTCTCAGAGAAGGGGGTACAGGGGCAGTCTCAGAGAAGGGGCACAGGAGCAGTCTCACAGAAGGGGCACACAGGCAGTCTCAGAGAAGGGGCACAGGGGCAGTCTCACAGAAGGGGCAGACGGGCAGTCTCAGAGAAGGGGGCACAGGAGCAGTCTCAGAGAAGGGGCACAGGAACAGTCTCAGAGAAGGGGGTACAGGGGCAGTCTCAGAGAAGGGGCAGACGGGCAGTCTCAGAGAAGGGGCACAGGAGCAGTCTCAGAGAAGGGGGAACAGGGGCAGTCTCAGAGAAGGGGCAGACGGGCAGTCTCAGAGAAGGGGCACAGGAGCAGTCTCAGAGAAGGGGGCACAGAAGCAGTCCCAGAGAAGGGGCACAGGAGCAGTCTCAGAGAAGGGGCAAAGGGACAGCTTTAGAGAAACTGCTTACATAAAGGAAATCACAGATGATCTGTCCATCCCCAGCAATCTCTCTCTCAGCTCAGCTTGGAGGGTTCACGTTGTGCAGCTGGGCAGCAGGAAAGCGGGTATTTATAGGCAGACTTGGAGTTTGTTTAGTTCATGTGCTGCCATCGCAACCCTGTGCTGTATGATGCCTGCTGTATACTCAGTGCTGTATGATGCCTGCTGTATACTCAGTGCTGTATGCTGCCTGCTGTATACTCAGTGCTGTATGATGCCTGCTGTATACTCAGTGCTGTATGCTGCCTGCTGTATACTCAGTGCTGTATGCTGCCACTGCCTGCTGTATACTCCGTGCTGTATGGTGCCACTGCCTGCTGTATACTCAGTGCTGTATGGTGCCACTGCCTGCTGTATACTCCGTGCTGAGGACAGTGCTGTTAGTGTGGGTGCTGTTGTTGAAGAGGGTGATGCTGTTGGTGCTGTAGTAGAGGGTGCTGCTGTAGGTAGATGTGCTGCTGTAGGAGAGGGTGCTGCAGTATTAGAGGTGCTGCTGTAGGAGAGGGTGCTGCTGTAGTAGAGGGTGCTGCTGTAATAGAGGGTGCTGCTGTAGTAGAGGTGCTGCTGTAGTAGAGGTGCTGCTGTAGTAGAGGGTGCTGCTCTCTGTAGTAGAGGGTGCTGCTGTAGTAGAGGGTGCTGCTGTAGGAGAGGGTGCTGCTCTCTGTAGGAGAGGGTGCTGCTGTAGTAGAGGGTGCTGCTGTAATAGAGGGTGCTGCTGTAGTAGAGGGTGCTGCTGTAATAGAGGGTGCTGCTGTAATAGAGGGTGCTGCTGTAGTAGAGGGTGCTGCTCTCTGTAGTAGAGGGTGCTGCTGTAGTAGAGGGTGCTGCTGTAGGAGAGGGTGCTGCTCTCTGTAGGAGAGGGTGCTGCTGTAGTAGAGGGTGCTGCTGTAGTGGAGGTGCAGCTGTAGCAGAGGGTGCTTCTGTAGTAGAGGGTGCTGCTGTAGTAGAGGGTGTTGCTGTAGTGGAGGTGCAGCTGTAGCAGAGGGTGTTGCTGTAGTAGAGGGTGCTGCTCTCTGTAGGAGAGGGTGCTGCTGTAGTAGAGGGTGCTGCTGTAGTGGAGGTGCAGCTGTAGCAGAGGGTGCTGCTGTGGTAGAGGGTGCTGCTCTCTGTAGTAGAGGGTGCTGCTGTAGGAGAGGGTGCTGCTGTAGTAGAGGGTGCAGCTGTAGTGGAGGGTGCTGCTGTAGCAGAGGTGCTGCTGTTATAGAGGGTGCTGCTGCTGTTGCTGTTGGTGCTGTTGCTGTGAGTAATGGGTCGGTCAGAGCTCTGATATTATTACAGCTCCTGCCTTCTGCCTGTGTGGGAGAGATCTCTGACTGTGTGAGTGCATTGGACTCTGGTTGAGCTCTATGGGAATGAGAGACATGAGGCAAAAAGAGAGACTTGAGATGGAGATCAGCTGCTGTGAACCCATGAGACATAGAAACATAGAAACATAGAATGTGACGGCAGATAAGAACCATTTGGCCCATTTAGTCTGCCCAATTTTCTAAATACTTTCATTAGTCCCTAGCCTTATCTTATAGTTAGTATAGCCCTATGCCTATCCCATGCATGCTTAAACTCCTTTACTGTGTTAATATAGTTAAGATAGCCAAGTGCAGGAATATGTCCTATGATTGGAACCCTCAGCACTCAAAATCAAGGCTATCACTGACAGACAGCAGGTCACACAGCCAGAGACTGACATAGACAGCATGTCACACAGTCAGTCACTGACAGACAGCGGGTCACACAGCCAGAGACTGACATAGACAGCAGTTCACACAGCCAGCCACTGACATAGACAGCAGGTCACACAGCCAGAGACTGACATGGACAGCATGTCACATAGCCAGCCACTGACATAGACAGCAGGTCACACAGCCAGCCACTGACATAGACAGCATGTCACATAGCCAGGCACTGACATAGACAGCAGGTCACACAGCCAGAGACTGACATAGACAGCAGGTCACACAGCCAGCCACTGATGTAGACAGCATGTCACATAGCCAGCCACTGACATAGCAGGTCACACAGCCAGAGACTGACATAGACAGCAGGTCACAAAGCCAGAGACTGACATAGACAACAGGTCACATAGCCAGAGACTAACATAGACTGTGGGTCACACAGCCAGAGACTGACATAGACAGCAGGTCACACAGCCAAAGACTGACATAGACAGCAGGTCACACAGTCAGTCACTGACATAGACAACAGGTAACAAAGCCAGAGACTGACATAGACAGTGGGTCACACAGCTAGTGGCTGTAAGAAGTAGAATCAGAGCATGGGACAGAGTGAAAAAACAGTAATCTGCTACTGAGTGAGTGCATGCACAATGTTTTACTACAGGGCTGGCCAGGAGGTACACCCCCAGCTATTGTAGATTTACAACTCCCATGATGCTTTGACAGGATTAGCCTCATAGGAGTTGTGGTCCTGCAACAGCTGGTGTTCTACAATTTGACCACCCTTAATTAATACCGTTAGTAAAATAATATCTGCTGGTGATGGGGATAATCTGCTAAACTGGAGGATTGAGTAGGGAATTACAAAATTTAAATCCAAATAATAAAACCTGCAAAATATGGACTTTGAGCACTTTTCCAGCTCAGTGGTTTGAATACAGAGTATGGGAGCTGTAGTCCACAGCATCTGAATTGCCCAATCCAACCAGTGAGCCCCAACCCTGAATCGCCTACAAACAGGGCCTGTTCATGCAATTACACGTCACTGGCGGGTAACAGTGACATCTTAACCAGCGCTGAAATGGCGACATTTTACCGCTCTAAAGTCGGCGTCGTAGAAAGATTCTGTGTGACATAGGACAGGGTATACAGGACAAACAAGTGAGATGCAAAACAGATATCAACTAAGAGGTTTGGATCTGAGACTGTCAGCATTACTCGCTGACAGAGACAGGTGTGAAGTGACTTCATAGAAAAAAACTTCACATTTTATCACAATCCACACTTTAGTTACGGACCTCGACAGCATAATAGGTGTACCGTGCTTTATATAAAATTAACTGCAAAAAGAGAGTGATCACATTTAGCATTTCTAGTGTCAACTAGGCTTGTGCATTCGTTTTCGGACAAGTGCTAATTCATCTGAATTTCGGGCAATTCATTCTTTCAAAGAAATCCAAAATGAATGAATTGCATTATAACGGAAAATGCGGAAAATGAATTGCTTGTTGGACGAGAATTAGTCCATGCAATTTGTTCATTTATGGATTTATCTAATTACAACGGCTTCACCCTTGTAACTAGATTCTATAATGGTACCAGTGTCGGAGAGCAGAGTCCCTGACACTTCTTTCCCCAAATTGGGGGTACAGGTTTCCTTTTATGCCCCTCAAACATTAGTTGAGGTGAGATCAGGGATTAGTTTAACATGGGGTGCCCAGTTTGGGGTCCCAGTGCCCATCATCCGAAGCCATGGCTGAAGGGTTACATTTGGAATGTCTAGCCCCTACAATGTGAACCTAGATATAGAATGTGGTTAATATACAATGGAAACTTAAGGCAGGACAGAAAATCATTGGAAATCCTGTAAGTACAAGGTGCTTTTTCGCATTTAGATTATACTGCATTGTTTTCTGTGCTGCATTTACCATCCAGTGAGTTAACTGCATTGCTTCCTATGTCTAACAGCATTGCAGGAACTAGTCCTGCAAAATGTAACCCCCCACCAGTGGCACTGGGGATGTAAAATAGTACCCCATCCCACAGACAATCTCTCTGTCACACATCATCGCCTCCTCAAAAAAATTCCATTTCATAAAGATCAAATCGTTATAAAATAATCATGAAGACTATATTGGAATATCACTGAAATTTAAACCCAACCACAAAATATAACCCAAAGTAGGGACTATTTTATCTTGGGGGTTTTTTTTTCGATGCTTGACAAGTTTGACAAGAGGCAGAGTTACCTTTTGTCAAGCATTGCCAATCCTTCGCTTGTCACTAGTGACGGGAACGGTGTTCATTTTGTCGACTAATAATTTTAGTAAAATTTAAGTCGACTAAAATTTTTTAGATTTAGTCTACTAAGACTAGACTAAAACTAAAACAATTCAAATTACTAAAATATGACTAAAACTAAAATGGCATTTTTAGTCAGAAAACTATGATTAAAACTAAACTGAAATTTGGTGCCAAAATGAACACTGAACGGGAGAAAGCCAATCCACAGGATACTCTTGCAAGTTCAAAAATATAAAGTGTTCATGTCAGCTCCTGGCCAATAGCTAAAGAGGAAATTCTGAAAGACCCAGGAAGGTGTCAGATCTGCTTTATGGACAAGTTACAGTTTATTACGTTGTCACACTCTGTGCACAGAGGAAAAGTTCTGCTTACTTAGTGAATTCAGTAATGGTTAAATAGGACCTTCCATCTTGATACACTGTTTAATGAATGGGACATTTCATATTGATACACAGTTTAATGAATGGGACATTCCATCTCGATGCAATGTTTAATAAATGGGACATTCCATCTCGATACACTGTTTAATGAACGGGACATTCCATCTCGTACACTGTTTAATATACAGGACATTCCATCTTGATACACTGTTTAATGGATGCGACATTCCATCTCGATGCAATGTTTAATGAATGGGGCATTCCATCTCGATACACTGTTTAATGGATGGGACATTCAATCCTGTATACTGTTTAATAAATGGGACATTCCATCTCGATACACTGTTTAATGAACGGGACATTCCATCTCGTACACTGTTTAATATACAGGACATTCCATCTTGATACACTGTTTAATGGATGCGACATTCCATCTTGTACACTGTTTAATGAACGAGACATTCCATCTCGATATACTGTTTAATGAATGGGGCATTCCATCTCGATAAACGGTTTAATGAATGGGATATTCCATCTCGTACACTGTTTAATGAATGGGACATTCCATCTCGATACACTGTTTAATAAACGGGACATTCCACCTCGTACACTGTTTAATGAATGGGACATTCCATCTCAATGCAATGTTTAATGAATGGGGCATTCCATCTCGATACACTGTTTAATGGATGGGACATTCAATCTCGTATACTGTTTAATAAATGGGACATTCCATCTCGATACACTGTTTAATGAACGGGACATTCCATCTCGTACACTGTTTAATATACAGGACATTCCATCTTGATACACTGTTTAATGGATGCGACATTCCATCTTGTACACTGTTTAATGAACGAGACATTCCATCTCAATATACTGTTTAATGAATGGGACATTCCATCTCGATAAACGGTTTAATGAATGGGACATTCCATCTCGTACACTGTTTAATGAATGGGACATTCCATCTCGTACACTGTTTAATGAATGGGACATTCCATCTTGATACAATATTTAATAAATGGGACATTCCATCTCGATACACGGTTTAATGAATGTGACATTCCATCCAGACACAATGTTTAAGAAATGGGACATTCCATCTTGGTACAATGTTTAATGAATGGGTCATTCCATCTTGACACAGGATATTTAAAGGTTGAGTTTTTGAGTCATAATAAGTCCATCATTGGTCCTTAAACCGTAAAACGGATGGATCATACATCACTGGGGACACACTCTAGTATATTAATATGTGCTTACAAACAAAAACAATAGATTCATCAAATTTGACCCTATGAAAGCACGAACTGACTGCTGCCAGACTAGCTCCCAAGCAATGCTACAAATGGGGCATTTACTTCATCATTAATTCACTATCGCAGAGCTTCTGGGTGATCTGAGTTCTTGTTGCAGAACAGGTGGAGCGCTGAGTAGCTATCCTTGATGTACAGCAAACACCGACATATTATAATGGGGCAAATCATCTCTTTTATTGCAATTCCAGCATTAAATAAAAAATGGAAAAACCAACCCACCATCTATGATTTATGTTAACTTTGTTTATGTGAGACTCAGTTTTTTTCCCCCAGTGTATGTTGAAGGGATGCTATAAGTACTATAACCATTTAATCTAATTGAATTGATTATAGTGCCTAGAGTCCCCTAAATCTGCCTATCCATTTAGTGTTAGTCCCTTTTGAGCAGTTCAACACTGGATAAGGGTCCCAGGCTTCCCATAGCACCGCCCCCACTGGAGGTGTGACTAATGCTGAGAATACACACTTCCTACTTGTACTAGTACATGCCAGCAAAAGGCACTGTGATAGGCTGAAAGCAGTCAGCAAACACTCTCAGCCAATCACAGCCAACCATTGCTTTATCATTATCCCAAGCAGCATAGAGGGGGCGACAGGCTGCTCCGGACTTTCGTTTGGTATGAAACCATTAAAACCAGTTTAGCATTGAGTGGCAGGACAGCAACAAGGGACTTCAGAAATTAT